GTGTACATAGTAGAAAAAAGTTTGCGAAGCGAATGAGAGAAAAAATTGACTGCTGTCCAAAACATACAGTGTATGCATATCGTGCGATCGATCCATCGAACTGGTTCCTCCCCAGTTTTTAGAGCAGTAGAATACGTTTAGAGTAGAAGACGATGAGTAATGATTTATTGAAATATTTTTTATACTAATTCGTAATCGACAGAATTCTCTATTAATCAATACTTTGAGAAAGACAGTTTCTCAAGGCGTTATAATAAAATCGATGAACAATAGAGCAAAAAAAAAATAAAAGAAAATAGTTTAACATTTCTCTTACTTGTATTTGTGCGTCTTATCGACAATTACTCCAAAACTGACGGAACCCAACATTCCCATGAGAACCATTGCTAAACCGATTCTACCCGCGTCTTCCTCACCATTCTGTAAAATATTAACGTGTTCCGGAATTATATCTTCTTATTATATCACATTTTAATGCTAACTCTTCTTAGAATTTCATATTCATAGAATCTATTAATTGGATGCACTTATAAATATTAATTATGCTATTTTAATTTTCATTAAGCTCACCTCGAAATGTGTAACGTATATTTGATTTAATAACGTTCCCGTCACGTTTACCACTCCAATCCCTAAACCGTATGAATTACAGAGCAATAGGAATTGCTTGTTTTTACACAATTTCTTAATTGAGTCTAGAACACTTTCGTCGAGCTCCAGTTGAGTCAGTTTTTGCATCGCTCGTGTTTCGCTCGGTGGCAGTTTCGGATCATCTTCAAATACTATTCCGAAAGCATGCATTAAAAGTTTTAAATCATTATAATTAATGATATAAATCTATAAGACGTCTGAATATCCATCAAGTGTCTTCCTTAGAACTTACGTATTACGATGAATAAAAACACAATTGTAATCAAGATAGCTTGATGCCAAAAAAGACGGGACAGACCAACACCGATATCGTCTAAGTTTTCATGATTTTTTACAATCATCGGTGTGAGCAAGAAACATATCGCTACCCCCATTTGATTACCGAAAATGCTTAACGATGTAGCCGTCGATACTTGATTAGAGTCGAACCACTGCGCTGCCAAACGTCCGGGCATCATCAAAACTAGTGTCTGACATATTAAAAAAAAAAATTGATACTCGTTAGAATCATTCGTAATTACTTATATTTAATTCTAATGAAACTGACAATTAATCAATTTAATCGATACAACTGTTCTTGATAAGATTACGGGATCATAGTAATCAGTCTTTCTTCGACATTTATCATTTGTTTTGATAATACGATTTTATTCTGTGAAACTGGGTCAAATTTTTGGTTTTCGTCTCCAAGAATCGTTTTACGGATTTCGGGATTAGGACGTATCTCTTTCATTAAACTCGAAATGCAGTCGGTGAACGATCATAAATTTCTGCGAGATAGTGCTCACGGGGTTAAGCCACGGGAACACAAACTTCGACTAGACTTGTAATGCCTCGCATTAGCAACAATTTACGACACGTTTTCACGACCTCGTACCACGTCGCGTTTGCGATTGTTTCAGCGCGACTAGGTCTGGGTCTCTTTATTTAGAACGCCGATCCATAAACAGAGCGCCTTCGATCCTGTGTGCAATAAATCAGGATTTGTAAAAAGGAATTGAACTAATCTGGCGACGAAGCGTGTTAGCATGTTGATATCAAAGTATAAGACGAGTTTTCTGTCACGTCTTAAACAGACGATAACAAGATTAATTACCCTCCTCTATTTAATTCCTTCATTGCTGATATTGTAATTCGGAAAAAACAGAATGCAAAATCTTAATTTCATTATGGGACGATACCTGAAGTATTATAGAATTTTCTTATTATATAGAATATAAAATTAAAGAAATTCATATTTCTTAATAAATTTTGAAATGCATAATGCGAAAATGCAAATCGTATGATATATCAAAGTTTTCTATATTCTTATCGGGAAATCTGATTGGAGAATTGTAGGTGTGCAGGGGATAATAATAATTCGCTTCGGGCATCTAATTGATCATGTTTCGTGTCACACGTTGCATCGCGTCCGATGGTTAAGGCTGACTTATTGCAGTCGTACACGGGTTGAAACTGGAACGGTCTGACACGATCTGTACTCATACTACTTAACGGATCATGATCACTGCCAAGGCGACTATGCAAACGTGTCTCAAGGATAAATTCTATATTTTGCGTCTTCACTTTGATAAATATTATCTCGTACGGAATGTAATAAAATGTACCGAGCATCGTAAATGCAGTTACATATTACATAAATAACCTGAATACATTTAATTGATTTTACATATAAAATTCGACATATTGACAAAAATGTCTGGCATTCTTTTGTACGAAATATAAATATTGACAGTTCTGTTATTGATCGAAACGATAAATTTTTGACGTATGAGAGAGCTTACGTCTTTTCGAATTATGATGAACAGTGACATATTTTAGATTTTGCTAAGGATAACTGTCTTCCGTTTATCGTAACGTACGATCGTGTAGAGCAATAAAAGGCGCGTCGCTTGCAAGCAGTATTTATGAATTTGAGGCGTGGATGAGAAATGATCGTGTAACCAACCTGTATCGAGGCGACCAGAGACTGTCCGATAAAGGTAACGTAAAATCTGTCAGGACTGACTGACAGGACTTTGATCCAAGAACCGATACAAGCGACACCGCACCCAACGATGTTGCTCCATCTGAGTCCCCATCGGTTCACGAAGTACGTCGCAGGGAAGATGAAGGCCACGTAATAACCCATGAACGTCATGGACGTCCAGTCGATGGCCAACGAGGAAACGCCATAATACCTGAATAACGTGTTTCAAAACGGATTTCTACTCAATTTAATTTTCACCTTTTATTCCCGAAAAATGTTATGCATGTACTTTCAAGTCTTTAAAGCTTTACAATTTCTATTTTTAATGAGAATATTTATAAAACATTAAAAAAGACACGTAGAGTTATTTTATTCCTTAATCTAAATAGATTTCGTGATCTGACAAACGAGAAACCACACAGTAAATAGCTAAATTAGATAATATTGATTATAAGGGACCAGTAGCAACCCTAATTATTAACATATCAACAGTATCAGCGGTGTACGTGTAATTTGATAATATTGGGATAGGCGCCAATACCTGCTGACTATGTTGGTGATTATCGAATACTGTGCCCACTGAAAGGTACTCAAACCATTGTACAGTATAAACAAGCATAGCATTAACCACCGTCTTTTATACACCTTCGTTTGGAATGCATTATTGTTTTCCTGCTTCTCTTCGCTGTTAATAACTTTTACAGGATTGTTCACGCACAATACTTGGCTCAGATCCTTCTCTTCAGTCATTTTCGTAGATTAAAAAATTTTATTCAACCCTTGAGCTCTCCTCTAACTCGAGACGAGAAATCGCGTTTGTCGATAGACCCAGAGAAACTCTTCATAAAAAAAAACCTGTCAGTATTCCATATTAGTTTCTTCTTCGCGAGCAGAACTCGTGAAAATACTCGACTCTTTCCATTAAAATCACGACCGAGCCACGCCGTTGGCTTCTAAACAACGGCCGTTCCTCCTCGCCGTTCGGTAGACAAGTTTCCGATCTAAACTGATCGTGAAATCGCGACCTTCTGCATCCATGGCTGAACGAATTTACAGAGGCTCACATGATGCCAGCATTTTTTCGCCTTATCTCGATTCCCGATTAAACAACATCGCGTTATTTGCGATCGACAATCTCTCGTTTCACTATACGTATCTCATTTTTATCAAACTTAAATCTGATTGATCCAGCCTTTCAATGATTTATATATTCAATCCATCTCTCTTTCTCTGTTCGACGCTTGCTTCGCAATTTTCTTTGCGGCAGCTGAATCTCGCTGCGAGGAGGAGAAAGGTATTAAAACGATTTTACGACATCAAGCGCATAATATCAGAGGCAAACAGAGTCGAGTCGAACCGAGGACCGCGTACCTTATAATCTTCGAAAGGCGAGACGTTTGTGACGAGAAAACCTCTGGCGCCACTCTATATAGACTTTAGAGTTTAACCGATGTTGCAATTTACGATCGTTGCACCATCGTCTAATTTTCACGGAGGAAATGGAAAAACAGAACACCGAGCCTTTGTGATACTGTTATGCTTAGTATCTATCTTTTTATCGACATTCAGTAGAAAGAATTCATTCTCTCCAAGGTAGATTGAAGTTTAACACAATCCTTGATAAAACTGTTACTTATATATTCAAAATAATAATGTAAAAAAAAATAATGTAAAGAGTAATGTGATTTTTTAATAAGTGTATTTCTGATTCTCAGTAACAGGTGCATCAGTATGTATCATTTAAGTAATTTTAGAAATTCTGTTTTACTCTTCTTTATGCTTGAACATTATATATTACTTGAATAACTTTCTTCTGACAAAAACCATGACATAGGAATTGCTTCATTAATTGTTCATAAATTTTCCGTACCACGAGGGACATAGAAGATAGAATTCTGATAAGTTATCTATATCTTACTTCATAGTTATCGTTGATGACTATTTTTGTCTCCCGCTCCCATCCTGCGTGTTATCGATATTTAATTCTGCGAGATCTCTGTAAAGCTGATTCAGGTGATAGCATAATAATAACAAAATTCTGTTTTCATACTGTTTTACTATATCCAATTGTTCGACTCGTCGAAGTGCGCGAGAACAAACGCGGTTTGGCGATAATTAACAATATAATTCGTCAGCAATCTCCAACGTGTCATAAAATACAAAACGTTGTAACATTCGCAGAATCTAGCAGCAGTAAATAAACGTTCGTCTAATGAATATAACAGAAGTTTTATTAGATATATTACATTTTTTAACAATAAAGACAATGGAAATTCTCTCGATGCTCCTTTCAGTTACGCAAGTTTACAATCTTTTACAAAATTGAACGTCTCCGTTACGATTTTAGTTTTTAAATGCATTTAAATATTAAAAAACGCCGGGAGAAACTTTTACATATGTACACCGAGGAGATACTACTAAAGTGCGTGTAATCGTTAAGACAACGAATGGGGCCTAATGGGACTCCAAATACAGTCGGTGATCTTTTTTTTTGATGGAGTTAGAAAGAAATTATGATACATAGGACGTTTCTTCTACCTGGGAACTGGAGTTACAACTTTTATCTGAAACATTTTTCGCTAGCGCCAATAGTTAATGAGTATTTCACAAAAAATGAAAAAACAGTTTATTGCACATTACTCATTAACTATTGACGCTAGCGAAAAATATTTCACATGAAATTTGTAGCTTTTGATGGTACCCACAAATTTCATTTCAAACATTCTTCGCTAGCAGCAACAAGTAAGCAGGTTTCACAATAAACGAGAATTTCGCAAAATCTGAATAATTCTTGACAAAATCTCGGAAAAATAAAATTTTTTTTCTAAAAATTTCGAAAAACGCTTCAAGTAAAAGTTGTAGCTATGACCTGCAAAGAAAGTCGTATACAATTTTTTTCTATCTTGAATAATTCAGGAGTAATCGATTCATTATTTCATTCATCGCCAATTATTCCTTAACGAGCGGAGTTAGAAAGAAATTGTATAGGACCTACTCGTATCTGGCAACTGTTCAGCACCGATGAGTGTTTTGCTTTCTATTTCTTATTTCGATGGCAATATATTCTGAAGGGCGTAAAAAATTGCCAACTTTTTCGTGCGACATAAACTCCCATGAGGCTGCCACTCTTTAATAATCTCTCCTCGGTGATATGTATAACTGATTGAGTGGCATACGGAAAATGACTCCTTTCCATTGTAAAAATATGTGACAGCCGCGTGTGGCACGGCACCAAAATTCCACTCTGCGACAATACGAGACAGTTAATAGTACAATCGATTTATTATTTAATTGAAATAATTATCAAGCAAATTATGTATAAAGCATTTCGATCTAGTTTGTCCTCAATAAATTGATCTTTCATAAAAGGATATAACATCATCCGATATTGCTTCTCATATTTATTCATCATTTCGTTCAGAATTAACTGTACTAATAAGTACGAGACACGCAATTTTGGTATCTTACCACACTGCGTTTTTTTTTTTACATTATACGCAACATCGCTCCCATTCTGAAACAGCTCCCCTTCTCTTAAAAGTTTTATTTATACACGCACCCGTGTTTCGGTTGGAAAAACTTTTAAATCATCGGTTCTCGAAACGAGCCCTGGAAAATATATTACAAACGACGGATCCGTTATCGTTACCAAAGTCGAAAGAACAATTGTTTGTCATACCACGTATGGATATTAATATTAAAGTGTCTCGTTTACATATATATATATATAATATATTTATATTTATATATATATCTATACACATATAGTCTAACGATTATTCGTATTGTACACGATTTTATTGTTTACTGGTACATACTATGTTAACGGTGTTGGAACCGTGATCCGATCGACGCATCCAACGCGTTTAAATGTATTTTATTATTACGTATTACAAACTATTCAATTCACCGAGCAACAGTTCAACACACACGGGCTGGACACTCTGAATGTAAAAACACGTGGAAAAAGATCACTTTACTTTAGTTTTTTCAATTGTTTCACCTAATCTCGCGCTGTTTAACTTTGTTCATGCTGTTGTCGTTGGTTGAACACACGAGGTGTTTCAATTATTCTTTGGCTAGCGTACTTTCATCCTAAATCGATCATTTCGACGAACAAATCTTCAAATATTTCTCATCTGTCGCATTGCAATAAAAATTGTACTAAATAAACTAGCTTATTGGCAAGCACTAAATTCATTATAATATTCCAGTTGCTATAATCGATAAAATAATAAATATCTTTTCAAGGGGTATTACAATGCTACAGTACAACTACTACAATAAATACAATTATTAATTAAATGATCGTTAAACGTGGCCGTAGTATCAGGTTTGTTCGTCGTTCACATGGCGGAGAAATTGTCGAAGAAACAAAACGAAATACGATAACACCACAGAAATCCAGTAGATTTACCAGAATTGCTTCTTAAAATAATATCAAAATCGATCTTTTACTACCATTTGGCACGTGTGCGTGTGTTTAATGTCTGACTCAACTGAAATTGCGTTTGACTAAATGTTTTCCTTTTCCGAATTATAAAAAAAAGGAAATATGACATGCACGATACTTATGTTCCTTTTATAAAAGTTAGAAAAATGAATCAACAATTCTCAGGAAATCACGCAAGAATTGGACCAACGACGATTCTAAAGTATCTCACTGTCTCCTGTTAATTTCAACAATTTTTTTTTCAAGACTTTTCTTACGGATTTTTCTTGCAAATATTTTATCATGTACAATTTACAAACGTACAAACGTGGGATGGGACTAAAATGTTTTGATGGAAAGAATCGAGAATTTACAAACGAATTCTGAGAAATGTGTTTGTTCTCAAACTAGCCAGATTCGTTCGATCAACCGAGAGAAATTGGGGTGGGACGCGCGCGCGGGAATTCGACAATGGCTGCGATATGTGTCATCTTTTTAACATTTAACAAGATTATATAATATATATTTATATAATTTATTCATTCACTTATATATATTTAATATTTAACGTTCAATCGATCGTACGCTCATTTAGCCGTTACGCCGCTTTTTCTTCTTTTCTTTTTTTAATTAGACAATTTGATCCCAGAACACATGGTAATAGCTTAAAAAACGTACCATTTATTTATAATTTTCGCACGAATCTTTATGTATAAATGTACAGGTATCGTAAATCGCGTCCATCGCGTGGATCCGACTATCTAGATCGACTTTATTTATTATAATTACATCCACTTCGTAGGCCCTTTTATCCTTCCAAAACGAAAGGCTTGCAAAAAGGATAAAATTCTCTTTGCGGTAAATATATTAAATTGGAAGAGGGTTTGTTTTTACATGTATATGATGTCGGGATTAAATAGGTGGTTTTGTAAAAAGTGAAAAAAGGAAGACATAACAGGATCTGGAAGGGCTGTTTAATTATGCTCTTTGCTCCAAGCCTCTTCCAATGTCTCAATTTAAGTAACTAGTTCTTTGGCTTTTGGCTTGTAAGTAATAATCAATGAATTTCACTATGATTTTAAAAAATCTATTGAATTTTGCATTCACGTTTTTATGAACGAGCATTTAAGCTGTAAGGTGATGATTAAACGGATTGGAAGATAAAAAATTATAGGGCACAGCCATATGATTTTTATATTTATTGTAAAAAAAACTTCTTTCATGTACTATATATAGGAAAGCTGATTGTAAATCTGATCACAGCGAAATTCATTATATTGGTTTAATTAAAAATAACACATATACTCATCCACAACAATATAAGCTCACCATAGCATTAACCACAATTTTTACAAAATCATATGTATTATGGCCACAAGAATAATTCTATGAGATTAAAAAAAAAAAAAGAACAAACGAGAAGGGGGAGAAATGAAAGGTAGTAGTAATGTATAAACTGGAAGAAGTTAAAGAAGCTCTTCGTTCTCGTCGGTGACGCCGTACATCTGCGGCCGTCGTTCCTGTTGCTGTTGCCTCAGCGCCTGCTGTTGCTTTTGCAGCAACGCGATGCTGGCAGCCTTGTAGTTGATCGGCCCATAGGAACGGTAGTCCACGTCCGCGTAGTCGAGATCCGAAAATTCCGGCTTGAAGGGCTGCGTAAACAGAACATGACAACGACAACCTTAGTTCTACACGTTCTTTCACTTTCAATGTCAATGCAGCCGAGCACAGCCGCGTGTCGCTCTGCTTCCAAAGCCCCCTGCATTTTGCATTCAAGTGTACATATGTACGTATGTACAGTGGAAAGTTTCGAGGGAATAGCGACAGAAGAGGAACGTTAGAAGCATTTTAATATTTATCTTGTTCGGAGTTTGGCGACCAAATTCTTGCATGAAGATTTAATCCAATTCACATTATTGTAACAAGTGATAAGAATGTAAATTACGTTTGATTATACTTGTTCAAGGATTATAATAGATGTTTTGAATCTGTAGACATTCTGTGTTCTCAGTTGCAGGTGTATGCAATTTAGAATTAGTTCGGTTAAAACTGCCATAAGTGGGTTAGAAGAAAAGTATACTAACTTAGTAATAAAACAGAAAAGCAATCAAAAAAAGAAACTACTTGTAGTTATATGAGATTAGTAGAAAGAATCCAATTGCAATACATTGTCATCTATTTCCAAAATGCCTGTCGAGACCTTTTTCACATTTTCTAATTCAGTGATGATAAACATCTACATACATTTTTCATGAGTTTTTTAGAGCACTTTATAAAATAAAGTGAGATAAGCATCCATATAGAAAAAATATGTTCTACCTACTTATACTACCATCTTTCTGAGTTATAATCCTAGAACTTTGCCCATCACATTTTCTTATTCATAGTCTTTCTACTTCCTCTTCATCTTATGACATGATCCTTTGATTATGATATGTCAAAAGTAAAATATTTGTAGTATAAAAATTTTTA